TAGGGCTGCACGATAAATCGCATGCGATATTTAATGCGCATCTTGTCAGAAAGCCGGTTTTGTAATCAGCGGTAAATGGTCACGATCATATATGAACATGGTTTGGCGCAGCTCGTCAGTGAACAACGGCTCTGTGTAGTTAATGCTGCTCAATGTGAAAGCACGCAGGTGATGGAGATTTACCGCTGATTACAGAACCGGCTTTACTGATAAGATGCGCATCAATATCGCATGCGATTTATCGTGTAGCCTTAACTTCGGTCTATTTTTTTATTACTAAAAAAATATCAGATTATTGATTACCAAAATAATTGTTAGTTACGGCCCTAGTTTAAAAACATTTCAAAATACAACTTCATTTTAATTTTTTTTTTTGCATTTTGTGATAAAAAGACAAATGTTTTGTAATTGAACATTTCTTAAAAGTAGTATTAAAATATTGTCTCGTTCTAGTGAAACAAGTATCTGTATTTTGTCTCATCTCATGAGCTAAGTTTGTCACACCCCTAGTATCTATAGCTTATATTCCAAGTGTATGATATAGCTTTCATTCTTCAGGTCAATCATGTATTCATAAAATAAAATCAGTTTGAATAAGGAAAGCGATATCTTTGCCATAGTATCCTTTTAAATGTTAAAGTGGCCACAGTCATTGCATGCTTTGCTTGTGCTGCACTTTATTTGTACCATCTTGTTTTTAGTTTTTTATTAGAATTTGAAAGATAACAATATTGCTTAATAAGTGAGATCTCTTATTTCTAGGGCTGCCCCCTAATAGTCGACCAGAAGAGGCTTGATCAACCAAAATTGTATTAGTCGCAGAAAAATTAAATCCACATTGGCGAAGTCGCGCAGATCGTTAATGGCTGGTCTATGGTATGGTACTGTACATCCAGCAGGACATCCAAATGCTCACCTATCATTCATCCACCACAAATATGGCTTATCATCTGAAATATGTAAGTATTTGCAACTTTACATGGCCCCTCAATCTAATGTTAACCTAGAGAAATGTCCGCTATTCAAGTGTCTGTGCGGAAGCTGAACAGTAGCGATCACTGCAGGACAGACGGAGGCGCCGGTGCATTCACTTGCTCTTAAAATACTCCGTAAATAAATACTCATACAGATAAGAGTAATACATCTTTCAAATCTGTAAAGACTCTACGTTTATTTGTGTGCATTCACAATAACAAATCGCGCTTTTGTAAAATAATGAAAGAAACGGGATGTGCTTTCTGCCGTCTCGGTCTGTGAACTTGAGTGCGAAACTCCGTGTAGCCTATATCTTTGCCTTACAGATATTAAAAATATATCTATAGAGAGAGAAATGTCTAGTTTCAAATGAACCAGTTCAAATGGAAAACAAATATTCTCAGATTATGTAATCTGTATGAAACATGCATACAAGTGCATCCCACTACTGGGGAGATGACGAGTCAGTATCGCCGACTTCATCTCTTAAACCGAAACAAAGAAAGCACTTGTTTATCAGTGAATTATAAAAATGTTAATACAGCCTCTTTACTGTTTTTCCCTGACACATTCATAATCATAGCTTCTGCGGTGTGCTGTGGCAGGCTTTATGCGTGCGTTTGAATGCTTCTTAGGCTTTGTAGGCAATTAAAGGCTCTTTATCATGATTTAAATGGTTTATTAAAAAAACATGCGATTAGTCGACTAATGCTTAAAATTAATGACTACTAGTCGACCAGAAAAATCCTTAGTCGAGGGCACTACTGATTTTAGTCCTTGGGGTAAAATTTCTTTAAAAATCATGTCTGAGAAGTCCTTAAGTCCTGGAATTTCATTTTGCAGTTTCTGTATGAACCATGTAAACAGATTTCTGCTGCTGATACATTTCTAAAGGAAATACGTTGTGTTCGTTCTATTATGTTTATGTTTAGTGTGCTTTATATTTTTTCTTCAGGAAGTCATGACACCACCATAAGACTCTGGGATCTGGTTGCTGGCAAAACAAGAGCCACACTGACAAACCACAAGAAGTCTGTCAGAGCATTGGTGCTCCATCCCAGACAGTAGGTTGCTTATGTAACATTACTTTAAGTGAACAAAAAGTAATTCTGTAAGAAATATGATAACCTAATATAAATATAATAGTAAACCTGTAAACAGTATAAAGTAAATTAAGTTGTAAATTACAGCCCTATGAAATCCAATTCCCAGTTTGTGCCACATTCTGTTTCCATTTGTCATTTCAATTTTTTATTCAATTTTTTTGGAGACTGTCTTTAACGTACGGAAGAGGATTAGGGCCAAGCAATAAAAAAACATTAAAAAAAATAAAACCATCTCAAAATTAAAGTCGTTAAATTTCAAGAAAAATCTCTTTAAATAAAAGTCTAAAAGTCGAGATAAAATGTTGAGATTAAACTCATTAAATTTCGAGAATAAAGTCGCTGTTTCGAGATAAAAAATGTGGGAATGTGGGAATAAGCTCATTGAATTTCAAGAAAAATGTCGAGAATAAAAACTCGTGTCATGTTCATTTCATCTCGTTGGACAGTGTTATTTAGCATTTGCAGTGTGGTGGGATGGAGAGTAATGCACTGGGGAGTAGCGAATGATACGTTCGAGTCCGTCTTTAGCCGAACTCGCTTTTCTTCCTTTTCTCATCAAATATCACATCGGCAAATTAGAAATCAATTGCTTAACGAGTGTCTAATAATAATGTATTAATTGGGGGTAGGCAGGCTATAGGGAGGGCTTTGTTCTCCCAATAAGGCAGCATCTATTTAATAATTTCAATAAATAAAATCATTATTAAAATCATTGTTATTATTGCATCCTGTTAATGTACAACAATACTGAGGTGCAAATAGTATCTGCCACTATTTATAAGTATAAATAGCATCTAATTATCTACTATTTACACTTATTGAAAAGATCTGCTACTTTTACATAACGTAAATAGAATGGCTGTTTTTCACTTTGTGTAAATAGCACATATCTAAAATTCTGCTGTTGTCACTTAGTGTAAATACATATAACTATTTTCACTGTAAATAGCAACTGGCAGGGGTGTCCAAAGTCCGGCCACGGGCCAAAAAACAGCCCGCAGCTTGTCTATTGAAATGTAGGCTATTATATGTGGCCCACCAATCATAATTTACAAATCATGCAGTTTCACAATGTGAACACAAGGTGACAGCGCTAAATTTTAGGCCAGATGTATCAGTAAAACGTGAGCGACAACAATTTGATAACTCATATGCGCTGTCATTTCTTTAGCGCACCGAAAGCAAAAGAGTGCTACTCACGTGAAGCGCGCTGCACGGATCATTATTAGCTCTGCCTAAAGACTTTTTACTCGCAGGTCTCGATCATGCGACCACTAAACAGCACTGTGAGATGCGTTCGAGTTTGGAGCAGAGCTCTCCTATATAAACCACAGATGTCACGGTGATTTAAACTAGTTTAAAGGCAGATGAAACTGCGCTGCCATTCTCGACAACACTGACACAGAAAACAGGAGAAACACTGTGTGACAACAATGCAGTTAGAATAGGCCTACTTTTCAATCCTCAAATTAATATTTACAATGGATTCACTGTAGTAACACTAAACCTACCTAATTAATACATTATTATTAAATACTCGTTAAGCAATTGATTTCCATTTTTCCGATGTGATATTTGATGAGAAAAGGAAAAGCGAGTTTGGCAAAAGACTGACTCGAACCCAGTCAATCGTATTATGCGCTACTCCACAGTAGAGGTCTTCATGGGTCCACTTGGATCCGAAAACCCGAGTTCCGACACAAGACCCGAGCGGGTTCGGGTCCAAAACTTCGACAAGTGCCTCGGACACGGGTAGGGTTCGGTATTAGCGGTCTCGGGTAATTTAAAATAAACATGCTTTTTCCAAATGGACTCGATTAGACCCGAGTTCTTTTAAACTATCCCGAATGCATAGGCTACTTTCACTTTCGTTTTAAGTGAGGAACGCACATAGAAAAGGAGCATAGGCTACGTTTGTAACCTCGCACACAAAAACCATCTTATAGATCTGAGATCCATCAGGAAAATCCACTCTCTTCATTATGCTGCCTGTTCATATAGGGCTTTTCTTTTTTTGTGTGTGCAAAAGCCTTTCGCCGGAGATCAGGTTGCAGACAACACTAGTGAATACGTGAATTATTAGGCTATAGATTACATTTTTATCAAACTGTCATGCTTATTTTTCAAATCCACTGGTCACAATTGAAAGTCAAGCTCAGAAATAACTAGAGGTCGACCAATCGATCGGCCGGCCGATTTTTGGCATTTTTTTAATTAATCGGCTTTGGCCGATTGTGCTGCAAATTAGGCAGATTTATAGGCAGGTGCACCTGCAGGCAGCTAAGCATTGTTGTGGAACTCCCTCTGAAGAGACTGCGTGAGAGATGGAGCACCTCACACTCTGGAGCCGTTTCTTGTTCACACACAGCTTCAGCTAATGATGGCAGGGCAAAACAGACCGTTTCGAAAGCGTAATTACGTTTTACCCTACTAGAATTGATGCCAGAAAGTTATCATATTCATAAGTGCAACAAGTCATTTGCATGTTAAAGTAGAAACGCATGCAATTCAGACGAAACTTCTGGGCTGATTGTAACGTGCACGTTAACTTTCTTCGTGAAATGTGTGTGTAGGTCCAACAGTAGCATCCACGATGTCATCGCTTGTGGCCAGTGCACTCTACGCAGTTATGAGCAGCAGGCTGTGTATTATGTGTGAACTCTTTTATTTTTATCACTTGGCCATTTGACTTATAGTAGTGTCCAGTGTTTCCATACATTAAGTTATTACTTCGCTGAATAAACTGATCACTGCACGTTTCAAAATTAAAATGCAGCGCTGGTGTTTTTATATGAATGTATCTTTGAAAAGAACTGACCGTCTTCAGAAAAGCTTTGGTGTCATTTTCATATAATCTTTCCTGTAATGCCTGATAAAGTAGCATTTGTGAGCGCAGTGCTTATTTGATTACAGCCATCACCGGGGAAACCGCTATATCTCTCGCTCCAACAGTGCCTCCTGCTGGCAGAGAATGAGTTTGTATTTGCAAGTCTGTGGGAAACACTGGTGTCTGTCAGCAAACATAAACAAAAAGCATGCTTCAGAACTGTTTTGAGAAGGTGCTTAAGTTTTGAGCCATGTATTATTACTCTGAATTAGGCTGCTACTCCTATTACTATCTTGTACCCTGCAATAATCATTTACTCAAACTCACTTTTATGAGATGAAGGGAAAAAAAAAAAATCGGCCAAACATATCGACCAAAAAAATCATCGTCATATATCGGCCATCGGCTGCCCTGATTTCTAAATATCGGCATCGGCCAGTGAAAAACCCATA